GATGTACTTCTAGCATTATCCTAAAAATAAGAGGACACGATTTTAAAAAAATAAAAATACAGCTTTCAATTATTAACTGTCATTCTTGTCTTTTAGCTTATCCAATGGGGGCATTATTCCTCTATTTCAATCCCTGTCAGTGGCCCTTGTTTGACTGGCATTAGTGCATAAGTGTGTTTGGTGCGATAATGTATTTTTTTGAGATGATGTGATGAAAAATATGTGGTTAAAAAAGAAGGAAAAATTATTGATATAATAAAAAATATTATTTTATTGAAAAATATGTGATTGAAAATGGAAAAAATAATGTTGGTCGTTTTTGGGAATTTTGACAGGCCACATCCCACATGGGAACCTGTCTTCTTTTCGTGCAATTACTAAGTCAAAGTCATTCTATAATATTTTTTTCTGCAACCACCTGCTAAACCAATAAGTGTTAAATATCAAATACAGAAAATGTTTAAAATATAGAAAATGGCAGATAAACATTGGAATATGATGATAAAGCAATTTGATGCTGACTTTCCATATAATTTTTTACCACTTTTGCCGGTAATTACACAGAAACGGTAACTTTTAGTTAGAAGAATGTCCCTGTTTTTCATTTTTCAACAAATAGTTTCATCTCAATAGTGTTTTAAAAAAAAATCAGCTCTTAACAAATGAATCTGTTGAAGTTCTGATGATGCATATTAATTAAGGTTTATGGCATGCATAGTTTTCTTTGCTTTCTAGACAAAGTTATAAAAGACCAGGAGAGGTGCAATTATTTAACCAAGTCATTCTATAATAATTTTTAGACCCACCAATAAGTGTTAAATACTAAATACATAATTACTTTTGAAAAATACAACAAATGACAAATATGTATTGGAATATAATGAAGCAATTTGCAGGACGAGTTCATATTAAATATTAAACATATTTAAAATATAGCAAATGTTACATAAGAATTAGAGTACAATAACATCTCCTATGTGAATTGTTTTTGTACATGTGGTAAGTAAAATGAGAATGGGAAGAAGAGGATCTCCAAGGGGATGTGGATTATACAAATTGTTGATCACATGTACGAGATATGTAGAGAAAGCGTAGAGATAATTAAATTATAAAAATTGAAATAGACACATCCTCGACGAAGATAAATAATAACAACATTAATTAGGTGAAGGATGTCTAGCACGCCTTCATGGATGGATTGTGCTATTCTTCCTTTCAATGTAAGTATTATGGAAGAATAATACTATCTAACGCCGATTGTATCGAAGATCAGTCTAGATATCAGCATATAATAAATTATATTAAATAAACCATAAATTCTTGTATTTGATGGAATTTGTAATTTAGCGTCAAAAGTGATGATACTTGTTAGATACTAATGGTTCTAAATAACATTATTCACTATGAAATGATGTGACATACTTTGTGATGCAATTCCCCGTCCCATTGAAGATGCTCTAATAATGTTCCATTCATGTTTGGAAACTTTGGCTTTCCTGAGGCAATTTGTGAAAAATACCTTTTCTTATTCAACCCTTTAGCCAAATAGTAAAAGGCACGTATTGCAGCTATACTATGCTACATGGTGTGAAGATGGGAATTTTTATTCATGGAAATTAGTCGTTTATATGTGAAACCAAGTCCTTTTATTTGTGTAACCAAGTCATTTTATAATATTTTTTTTCCTTTCTTGAATCACCGGGTCCACAAGGGCCCTGTACTACACTCCACCTGTTGGGGGGGGCGGGGGGGGGGCACTAAGTGGTGCCTCCGGTAGTATAATGGCCATGTACAACCAATATTATTGATGTAATATGAATAATGTTGTTTGAACAAGCTCAATTACAAGTTAAAAATAAACATATTGGTTTGGCAATTAATAGTTTGAAAGACAAACACGGGCTATGTAACAAATTCAAGTTGATCTATAATAGTACAGCACTCTCCTTCCCAGTGCAATTATGTTACTAAGTCAAAGTCATTCTATAATATTTCTCACCTGCTAAACCGACAAGTGTTAAATATAAATGATGTGACATGCAATTTCTCGTCCCATTGAAGATGCTCTAATAATGTTCAATTCATGTTTGGAAACTTGTGCTTTCCTAAGGCAATTTGTGAAAAATACATTTTGTCTTGTTCAACCCTATAGAAAAAAATAATAAAGGGTAATGATTAGTGTACATAAAGATTGACCTATAGTGATGTTCATACACTCACATAAAGTGGGGGTTGTTGTCGGAAACTCGACTACCG